GAATGACATCGTCACACACTGTACACAGAGCTTTACCGGCGACATCGAGCTTTTTCACGAAATTCGACACAAGCACAATGGTTCCTCTTTACTGTTTCCCACTGGGGACACCGTCAGCTTTCTATCCAACCAGTCCCATCGAAACCTGTTTTTTAGATCCGCATCTATCTGACGCACTTCAGCTTCGTCGCGAGTCTCGATAACATTCGGCATTTGCGAGAAAGGGGTTTAGGAAGGCGAACACGGATTGGTTGTGATTTGCATTTGCCGATATAGCGACCAATCACAACAAGTAAGACATCATACACGTCCAATCGCAGGGCTGTTTACAATCGGAAAATGGAAAGACTGATCATCGGGAGAGCTTGTGAAAACTCGACGATAAGGTACCTGACCCCCCCCTAAAATTTTCTCAATGGATTTAGACGATTCACAAAATGATCAATTTAAGAAATAAAACGGCGGATTTCTGCATATCCGCGGAAAATTGCCATCCCTGCAGTAGTCACCATTTGATCGTTCATAATAAAGGTAGCCAGTTGTGACACATTAAACGCAAAATTATGCCAAATAACTCGCTGCGTCAATGAAGCAATCCTTGTGATGTTTTTTTTTAAAAAATTGAAATATGAGTCAATAATCACAATATAAAATTCACAATATTCAAACACATGCCCTGCGATTGGCTGGCAACCAGTTGAGGGTATACCCCGCCTACTGCCCGAAGACAGCTGGGATAGGCTCCAGCACACCGGGCGACGCTCGTGAGGATCAAGCTGATCGGGAAATGGATGGATGCAAACACAATTTATAAGAGATCATAAATGGCACCATACCTAAAGTTTAATGTACAATAATGAGTACAATTATAGCTTTGTGAATTACAGTGCAACACAATTTGGCTCAGGACAATGGTTGACCTCAATTTATTTCCAGCTTTCAAAATCTGTTTTGACTTCATATAAATAATTGTAGTTTATGAATCATTAGATTTAAAAAAATACTTTAAAAATATGTAAAATATTAAATATAATATACTTAACAGTACTACATGTTTAAAATGATTTAACCCCTGGTCTACGAACATGCCAATGGTAAATTGGCATCAAGTTCCAGGAGTGACATTCCGTCAAATAACGACAGTCCGTCGAGCCTCTCGAGGTGCCAAGCTCAGGCTTAGCGCCCTGGTAGTCATGGCAACAAATGCAGGCCTGGGGATTACAGAAATTCACAGAAACCATTTTTCGGTTATGTTAGATTACCCAATGGTAAACCACAGTAACTAATTTTGGATTCCGTAAACGTTCATCATGGGAACCCATTTTTCTATTTTGACTGTTATTCATAATCAAGAAGAATTCTTGATTATGAATAACATTAAAATACTCAAAAGTATAATATTTAAAGAGTAAATGTTTGAAAACTATGCATTAACAATTAACATAAATACATCAGCAGCTGTGTACTCCAGATTTAATCAATAAAATAAATGTTTTTTTCAAAATATGTTGTTTAACACTTTTATTGTACTCATACGGCATCATGAATACAGCATACCACAAAATCAGAGTATTTTTTTTCCAGTCTCACACGGCAAAGAGGAACTTTGCGGAAACGACACGCTACCGGAAACGATCGTTACCCTGAAATCCTCAGGCCTGAAAAGAATGACTTGCGATTGGCCCACCAGGATAGAGGGTGGGAGGCTGGCTCGAATAAATGCATCAGGATCGCTAGGTATGAGATAATTTCAGCTAGACAAGAAACAAGGTATGTGAAATGTGATATAATTCTTAGCCAATTTTCTTTATTCCTGATAATAATTAACAAAGTATTTCTGTGAAACATATCTGACTGAATTATGTAAATTTATATTCATGCTTTCTGAGAAGAGAGGTGGCTTTTTCCGCATGAATTTTTCAAAGTGGAAAAAAAAAGAACGTCCATTAACGATCAACCATAAGACATGGTGTACACAAAGAGTCTTTTGTACCACAGTGATTTTACTGCCCTTCAACGTGCCATTTATATAATGTAATGGCTGGCAATGCAATGCAAACACACACTATAACCTAATTGTTCTCACACTCAGCACACGGCTTTGTTATTAGTGCTGACTAACCTCTGACCGACACCGAGGAGACGGTTTAAAATCACAGAGTCCAAGCAGCAGTGAGCACCTCCCTTTTCAGTTAGACCATAAGGGGAGAAATGTGCCTGAAGACCTTTAATTACATTAATGCCCTATTACAAAGGCTATCAACTCTGGCTACAATTGACTTGGAACAGAACAAAGGCAGACACACTTGAAATGCTGCAGTTATTTAGACTGAGAAATCCCCAAACTACAACCTTGTGATTAAACTGAGAACTGCGATTATTATTATTATTATTTTTTTTGTGTAGACCTCAGTAACGACACCTGGTGTAATGGAATGTTGGTTGAAAATGTAAACTAAGTACTCAGCCTTTAATAATGGAATTGCGGTAAACATTTTACATCATACTAATTAATTTACGCAACCCAAGTGTGTGACCTTCTGCTGTGTGAGAAAACCAGAGCAAAGACATCATTTTGTAATCATTGTGTTCACTTGGTGTGAATGGACCCAACATTTCTCAGTTGTCATGAGCAAAGCACGTGTGGTGGTCCAGCAGCATAAACAACATGCAGTCATGTTCTTAAGTAGTGTGAAGTGTGCACGGTAGGTATGATTGTAGAAAAAATGGGACACGCAACCCAAACAACCATCTCAATGTGCTGCAGGGGCAACATCTGTGTCTCTGTGTAGATGCATGTCTGCTCATTTAAACTCACACTGCAGCAAAATCAAAGATGACAGAAGAAGCAACTTAATTGGAATGGGTGTTGTGAGAGGTATTCTTTTTTTTTTTTTTTTTTTTAAATTACTCTCATTCATTTGCAACAATAATGCTCCATTAAGGTTGGCCCAGAGAGTTAACATATGTTTGACTGCATCATTGTTGTAGTTTGGAAGGAAAATGCCTTGACCCACCCCTAAATATTAGATTGTCATTGAGTTGTGCAGGTGCGCTTCATCATATGGATTTATATTTGATTAAAAATCAAAATGTCCTACATGCTGTACAAGGTTTGCTAACCATACAATGATGCCGAAATGCAACGTCTTGACAAACGGAATGCTCACAATAAACTAGTTTGCCCAGCAACGCAGGAACATGGTGTCATGCGGCACAAGAAAGCACGCTCAGCAACTACTGTACCAACTGTGATTCATTTGACGCTATTACAGTACACCAGATGTGTTTTTCATTTGAATATTTACCATAAATTCAACTTGACTACCATACGTTAGTGATAAACTAGGGCCTGTTCAAACTCATATTCAAATTTGGCCATTAACCCGCAACCTCCTGTATATTAAAGGTTGAAAATATTTCCGTGATTCCTGCGCAATTTGCACAGGATGAGAGTCAACTTTACCTTTAACCCTTTCAGGGACAGCGGTTACTACAGTGGACAGCCTATCATCTTATCTGGTTACAGGTTATCATTATTGAGGCAAGAAAGGGTTAATCATGCGATTAGGACGACACAGGATCAAAATTTCCAGTAGCAGTAAATAAATAAAAATCGGAGAGTCCATGAGGAAGACAAAGTGTTTTTTTTTTTTTGTTGTTTTTTTTTTTAAATGAAGCTGAACTCCAAAATGAGAGCGGAATGGGAGTGTGAGTCATTCTGAACGAGAGCAGGACAGGATAGGAATAGTTTACACAGGAACAGGACGGGATTTTTTTTTTTTGGTTTACTATGGGCCAGGAGGGGACGGTACAGGATTTTTCCCATGGAAGTGGAATGGGACGGGAGTGAAAATCCACTCCCGTGTCACCTTTTAACTGTACATGGAGATAACAAAGGCTTCTTCAGGAGGCATGAAGTCATGATAAAATCTTTGTGTGTGTCTGAGTAGGCCTGCTTGCATCTTGAATGCTGTTTGTTTGTGTGTGTGAAGTGACCACCCGGCCCATGTTCCTGGCCTTCTGCATTGCTCATCTATGTATCTTTGTTCTTTTCCAGACATTGCGTCTGGTCAGCTACTTACTGCAGATTGCATCCGCCTCATCCGAACCATCTGCACACTCTTGCTCTCCATCGCAGCGCCACCTAGCAGGAACACACTGTCCATTCTTGCAGGCAAAATCTGTGGTTGCACATGTCTTCTTTGCTGTCGAGAGGAATCACACAGACATGAATTAAAATGAGAGTACTGGCTTGTATTCTGAATTTATTTATGAATTTAGGGCTACTGCAGCAAATCATTTGAAGCCAGCAGTAACACCCACTAAGAAAAGAAATTGTGCAAATGTCGGCTATATCAACATGACCTCATTTTGTTGAAAACATACCTTGGTGAATTCTTATGACAGATTAAGCATTTTAGAATTTCATCTCTAACAGTTTGAGGTTGTACATAAGATAAAATGGTGAATAAGAAATATGGGCTGGAAGATCACGATCTATCATTGTTTATTGAATTTAAATTAGATACCAATAACACAATATATTGGGAAATGTATTTTAACTTTTTGTCAGCAGATTAACAAGATTAGTTTTTAAGCATGCAGACAACTGGGCAAAGGGATACAGCAAGTTTGGCAGCAACCTCTGTCTTTACCATTTTTGTTCCAAGGGGCGAATGTATTTTTTTTTTCCAAATCAGAATCCCTTTCTCATCAGAAGCTGTTGAATTGCTTCCACAGAGTTTGCGTACACAAGATGAAATTGAACGTTTAGGACTAACATCATTTCCAAAAAGAAATGTGTAGGGTCAAGTGAGTAGTCGGGAGCGGAGACAAAAGACAATTAATTGTGAGATTTATTTATCAAATATCATTCAACACAAGTGGTAGAAAAAAAAATCCCTACATAGAAGCTAATCAGCATGCTAATCTTCTTAAACTCTAATAGTGATCCTTGTCACACAATTTCTAAAACTATTATAAATTTCGTCCGAATATCGATCATTTGCACACAGGTTCTTTTATTTCTCAACAAGTGGAATAAAGACCCAACACTTGGACGTCATCTCTGTACAGTATTCCAACATCACAAATCAGGACGAATCGATTCGGGCCACTGTACTTTAAGGCATCGTACAGCGGGCTGAACAAAGCAAACGTGAGAAAAAGCGGGCAGTCACACCCCTATTTAAAACAGTTTCAAAAAGACAATATGCAGTGTGCTCCGGGGTGCTCATAAAGGTTTGCATGTATGAGTAGTAAAAGGCAACTAGTTTCGCGCCTTTCAACCTGTCTTCTCTCGCTGGCTCCGTTCAAGATAACAGCCCTTATATGATGTTAAACATGTTGACTGGAAAAAGCCCGCTATGTGGGTGTGATTAGAAAAGCAGTAATAGAAGCAGTAAATCAAAGGAAGCAGTTACTACTTCTATCATAGATAGATAGATAGAGATAGAGGCTTGGGCAATAATGTAATATTATACCGGCGTTACGTATTGCGGATTAAAAAAAAAACAAAAAAACTATACAGTATTCTGTTACAGTTACAGAAAACAATACGTCATCAGATTACAGGTACATTTATGAAAAACGGGGATTATTTTGCAAGATTACAATTTCCATGCAGACAGAGAGCCACCATTGGCCCGGTTGTTTATTTGCGCCTCGAGTGCAATAAGCGGATGCCATCATTACGTGGGTATTCAGACTGAGACAGCACGGTTGAATTACTAAGCGGTGACAAGCTTGCATTGCCAAAACTGCTGTAGTGTTCGGGTATTCTAAATGTTATTTGCAGCACTGATGCATTTTGTTATTTTCTTTGTAATTCACCGTGTTCCTTGAAAAGAAGCTGTACAGCCACGTATTTTGATTGGAACTTTTTCTCGCAACTGGATTATTTAAAATGGTTAGTTATTGTCTTTTTGTAAAATTGCATGTATTAAAACTACGAGTGATATTGGGATATTTTGTCGGTGTCGGTGACTACTCAAGAGTTGAGTATCGATCTGAAAAAAAGTGTTATCGAAGAGCCCTAGTTGCGGTAGGCCTGTAATAAGTCCATAGCATACCCTGCATCCTGCCCAAAGTCAGCTGTGATAGGCTCCAATTCACCCACGACTCAAACAATTGGGATAGAAAACAAAGCGATGATCTGTCATGCAAGTGGATCACAGATGGACAAAACCCTTAAAGCAAAGCAATGCCCATTTGAGTGATCCAACAGAAGATGAATGGCTTCCATTACATTTGTGTTGCTCTTTTTTTTTCTTTTTTTTCACTTAAGTTGCGCTGACTTCCGAATGATAACCCGTTTTTACCCCCACACCTACTCATCATACAAAAAGTGCTCACCACGTTCTCATGAGAAGATGATTTCGAACAATGCTTTTTGAGCATTAAATGAAGGTGAAGGTCAGCGCTTTCATCCATGTTATTACATTTACTCACTACGTCTCACACACACACAAAGTGAAAGTGAAAAGGAAATAATATACGTGCCCTGATAACAATAGCAAAAGGAACACCATCACTTCTGATCACGGTATTCCGATTGACTTTAGGTCCTTTATCGCCTTTAAAAGCAGTGACATCATTTACAGTCTACTCACATGAAACTAGAATAGCACTGCAATAAAGCACAGACCTCTGCCTGATGAACTGTGAAAAAAAAAAAAAGCCAATTGGCAGACTGTGCAATCAGCAGGGTGCTCTCTGACAAGAAGAGGCAAGGAGATGGAAAGGAAGGGCCTTTTTCGCAATGCTAAACACTTTCACAAAAGACAATAGCCTGCTTCCGAAGAAAAATGCTTACTTTGATGTTAACATCAGATATTTTAACATTAAAGCAAGACCCAGGTCAATATCAAAGCTTGATGGATGATGGCTTTCCTTTAGCATTGCTTACATATTACATT